ATTTCCTTAAGAAGTAATTACTTCAACATTTGTTTTTTAATTAGAGGTCAATTACCTCATTTCCATCCGCATTCAGGTTCTTGCATAAAATAGAGAGATCTGAAACACAAACCTTGTTATAGTGAAGAACTTGAGTTTCTGTAAGAAAATAAAAAGTAATACCAAGGATCCCAGCAGAATAAGAAACTCCAGGACAGGAGGTTTTATCTCTTCCTTAAGTCAGCTGGAGACAGTATTAGAATAGTTATAAAGGTTGTGTAATCATAGCAAAGGAAGAGAGATGAGAATTCATCGAACCTGTAATTTTGTGTCTCAGTAAAATTGTCCCTGAAATCAAGGACATGGTTACTAATTTTTAGGGACATATTTCAGCAAATATTTTTTTTTTAAATTTCAGTTTTCAAACTGAGATTATTTTCTTGCTTGCTATCTGATAGTGAACTTAAAACTTTTCCTTTTTTATTTTTTATTGGCTCTCTCAAGCACAGGAAATGCAGGAACAGAGGGAGCGGGAGGAATGAAAGAGAAGAAACCGAGGTGAGGACCAGAGAGAGTATAGGGTCAAGGCACTTGCCTTGGACATAGTCGACTCCCGATCAACCCCTGGCACCACATATGATCCTTTGAGCAGTGCCAGGAGTAAGCCCTGAGCACCGTTGAGTATGTTTCTTCCCTGCAACCCCCCTCCCCAAAGCCAACAAGAGTTAAGAGAAATGGGTAGGAAGGGTGAGAGTTCTAGGCAGGAATTTCAGTGAGTGGTGGAAAGAAATCCTTTCCGGTTGGAGGGTATGGTTCTCTTACTTCATCATAAAATAATGCGTTTTTGTAGCACCACTTACAGACTAAATGGAGTTTCCTTCTTTAATTATAGACAACCCTCGGAGGCTATCTTTATCTCAGATCCCAGAAGTGCTCCCTCAAATACCAGAGCTAGGAGTCACTTCCATGACGCACCAGCAAGATCAGTACACACGGTAAGTAAAGAGGCCTTTATGGACTAATGGACTCTGTTCACTCCAGAATGCAGTGGGTTCAAGAAAGTAGAGTTCATCCCAAATTGCAGTTCTCCTCGGGTGGAGCAGTCTAAGAGGGCTGGACTGGCAAAATCAGTTCATCTGCAATAGGTGGCATGAGATAAAAATCTCTCCAAGACCTAGAAAGGACCAGGAAATGGATATCAGTCCCTCTGCACCTAAAAATGTCACCCTTTCCTGGGCTTGACTTGTAATCCCAGCAGGTTGATCTTTGTGTCTGCAGAAATAAGAGAAAAAGAGATAATGCTTACTTATAAGGCAGAACTATCCACTGGCCTTCAGTAACAGAAATAGCAGATACTTCCAAAACTAACATCTGCTCAACTAGATTGGAGCTGCGTAAGCTTTTCCTGACATCTTTCACCTGAGAAATTCTTACAAGGTGCTGGGTCTATAGGTACATTATATATATATATATATACACACACACACATACATACATATATACATACATACATATATATATAAAATCCCTACTGGTTATAAATCATAAAGAGATTTTTTTAAATAAACCCCACATTAAGGCAAGTGACTTCATATGGGGTCATGATGACCAGTTTAAGAAGTTGGAATGTAGACGAATGTACATTGGTTCGCATTGATTTGGCCTCAAAACTGTAGTGATTTTGACAGACATTTTGTTCATTCATTCAATGATTTCCTGAAGTAGCTGCTATGTTAAAGGCATGATTGATAACCACTGTAGAGGTTATAACAATGAGAACAGGGAAGAGGAAAGAAACTAGCATTTACAGAATTTGGGAGGGGGGGTGGGGGCACTCCTAAGTAGTACCAGTAGGCCTGGAGGCCCCAGGGATGATTCTTGGCCAACCACGCCAGTCAGGGGTTCAAGGCAAGGACCTGAATATGTGATGTTGCTTTAATCCTTCAGCACTGGGGATACCTAATGGGCCTTCAGGACCACACCTGGTGGTATTCAGGGGACCACGTGGTGCTGGAAATGAACCTGGGTCATACAGCCTTAATCACTGTACTATCTCCTGCCCTCTCAGGGATTCTTTTATTGTGCTTGGGACAAACAGGTTGGATCATGTACTGTTTAGAATACTTGGGTGATTACATCCCAGCTCCTGGCAGAAAACCGATGGTCTACTCAGAGTGAATATTTGAAGGAGACTATAGTTAATAAGAGTCTACTTACCTATGACATGGGGAGGTCAAGAAGGTAGGGAGAACTGATTCATAAAATTAATGAAGGAGAGGGGTATTGAAAAGGAGGAGCATGGGCATCCTCTGGGTAGAGAACTGGGGACTGGAGATTGGTGTTGTGTTGGAGTCATGTGCACAGGAAACCCTAATTATGATAGGCTTTTAATATTGTGTATTATAAATCACAAAACCTCAATCAATAAACAGGGTTAAAAAAAACAAGAAAAAGAAATGTCTTAGGGAATAGGGAATGCTACTACTTCTCTCCCTCAGACCAGAGGAGCAAGAAAACCCGAGACACAGTACACACACACACACACACACACACACACACACACACACACACACACACACTCCCAGAAGTCAAATTTGTGCAGTGCTGTCTGGCACCAGCTGGGATCTCTGGAGAAGCCTCACAACTACCTGGGAGAGAATGAACAACCTGATTTGGCTGCATGCCTTCTCCATCATGTGCCATCTCCCTGTTCACATGCAGTGTCCCAGCGGGCTCTAACTAGCTCTCTCCTTGCCTATGCAGGGCGAGAAAGGTGGAGAGCTGACTGGAGATGTAACTAAGGGGAAATGAGCTCCAGAGGCATGTCTGTGACCAGGGCTAGAGGGAGGAGGTGTTGGTACAGTCTGTCTCCTATGGACTCAGGGGCTCCCAGGTGGATTTATTTTATGTTGCAATTGTGATTTTTCTTTAATTTTCTTTTTTGGGGGGAGGGGGTAGGGGGAGGAAGGTTGGGACACATCTGGGTGCTCAGGATGTACTCCTGGCTCTATGCTTATGAATCACTCCTGGTGGTTCTTGGAATTGTCAGCCACATGCAAGTAAAACACCTTCCCTGCTGTCAGTCTGGCCTGGATATAACTGTGATCAACTCTTATTGGAGGTTATTTATTTATTTATTTATTTGCTTTTCTGGGTCACACCTGGCGATGCTCAGGGGTTACTCCTGGTTCATGCACTCAGAAATTACTCCTGGCGGTGCTCGGAGGACCATATGGATTTCTGGGAATCGAACCTGGGTCTGCGGCATGCACAGCAAAGGCCCTACCCACTGTACTATCGCTCCAGCCCCTCTTGCTGGAGATTATGCTGGATAGATTTCTCTCTTTATTTTGTGCTGGGTTGATCAACCTTGTCCATGAAGAACTCTTCTTTGTTCATTAACTGAATGGTGTGCCAGGAATTCTCTTATTTATTGGCAAAAATAACACACCTACAGTGTTGCCGTGATCCTAGGGAATTGGTGCTTCAGATAGTACCAGTACATAGAGGCATTTCCAAAGGATTTGGGCAGTGTGGTGTGGAAGACAGCCCCTCTTCCCTTTCAGAAAATCTATTGCCTGCTCTTTTTCTTTTTTTTTTTTAATTTTTATTAGTGAGACATCATGAGGTACAGTTGTAGACTTACAAATTTTTGTGCTTGGGTTTCAATTATACAATGATCAAATACCCATTCCTCCACCAGTGCCCACTTTTCACCACCACGGGTCCCAGTATCCCTCCCATCCCCCATCCCCCATCCCATCCTGCCTCTGTGGCAGGGCATTCCCTTTTGTTCTCTCTCTCCTTTTGGGTGCTGTGGTTTGCAAAAGAGGCAATGGGTGACAATCATGTTTGGTCTATAGTCTACTTTCAGCATGCTTCTCCCATCCTGGGAGAATCCTCTGAACACCCTTTATTTGGTGCTCCCTTCTCTGTCTGAGCTCCCTTTTCCCCTAGCATGTGTGGCTGTCCTCCAAGCCATGGAGTAAAATTCCTGGTACTAATCTCGTATTGCCTGCTTCTTAATAGAGAGTCCATAATACCTTTAGAAATCAATGAATGAATCCCAATTTCTGTATCTTTGTACTAGAATCATGGAAGATTATAATAAAAATCAACTTAAACACTTATACTTTCCTTTCACAGAGAGTGAAAATAGCCAAACTTTTGTTGTGGCAAATGCTCAGGGAGCTCCTATGTGTCCTGGGTCCTAGGCTGAGAATCTTCTTACCACTAATGCCATGTTCTAAGGGATATAATTAAATGCCCTTGCATTACGTAGAATTACACTGTAGCACTGTCACCCCATTGTTCATCGATTTGCGAGAACGGGCACCAGTAATGTCTTCATTCATCCCTGTCGAGTGCTAGTGTAGTCCAATGGCATCTGCTCGCTCCAGGAACACGAAGTGAGATTTGTTGTTACTGTTTTTGGCAAATAGAATATGTCATGGGTAACTTGCCAGGCTCTGCCGTGCAGGCAGGATACTCTTGGTAGCTTGCCAGGCTCTCTGAGAGGGACAGAGAAATTGAACTCCGGTCGGCCGCATACAAGGCAAATGCCCAACCCGTTGTTCTATGCTCCAGCCCAGTAGGATTACAAAGATCCTTTAAAAATCAGGAATAATAGAAACTTTTAAAAATTAATTTATTCCCTGGGGGAAATGGACAACCCATAAATTAAAAAAAAAAAAAAAGAAAGAACTTTGCTTTATAACTCTACGTTTCAGCCAAGTGTCATTCTAACCCCCTGCTGATATATTCAATGCAATTCCCTTCCATAACATTCAGTGCTTTGACCACATGATTTAGTTCTTTTACCTCTAATTTATTCACTTCCATCCTCCTTTCCTTCTGGTAACCACTAATTTGGTAGACACAATATTAATGACAGGGTTTTTGTTTGTTTGTTTGTTTGTTTTTGGTTTTATTTTTACAGCTATTTCCTACTAGTTCTATTAAAGTAACACTTAACCAAACATTTTTGTGTGGCTAATATTTTCCTGTTAATTTTTTTTCAGATTATCCCTTTGAATTCCTCTGGAAAATCTGTATGGAACTCTTTTGAAGACTGCCCTGAAATTTATCTTGGGAACAAGTAAACAAAGCAATGTCACGTCCAGCTGAGGATGGGCACAAGGAAAGTAGCCACACAGAATGGCTACTTTCTGGCAAGTAGTTCATTTGCATTCTCTTGGCCCTTGAGCTCAAAGGAAGAAGAGTTTTTTTTTTCCAGACAGCCATTTTGAGTCATGGAAAACAAGCTGATGAAACTCATGGAAAGAGCCAAAGAATGCTCCCTCCCCTCCTTCTCCAGGGGCCCATAATTATTCAGCTTACCACGGCCCCAAGGAATCCAAACCCAGTCAAGGATGAGAACCCTTTTTTTCTCATTGGCCCACAATCCAGATTCTGATTTGACGAATAAGTTTTCCTCTCCAGATGTGATGACCTGGATTGTTGGCATCTACCTCTGATTGCATTTTGAATTTTGCCTCCTTTTAATAGTGGGGGTATTTTTTTTTAAATTCAAGGATGCCAAAATAAAATGGATTGAAGTAAAATGTTTGACTATTTAAATTGAACAGCAACTGTTTCCTCTGATTATTTGGAGTTTCATTGTTTTATATCTCTCCTTAATGTTAAGAATATTTATAGTCATTTATGACAATTCATTCTTATATAAAGGACAACTCTTCACATTGCATATATGGAAATGTCCTAGAATAAAAAACTGCTTATCTAAGTAGGTCTTCAGAATTTGACTGCAGGATTGAATATGAATAACAAGTTAACAGAAATAAATATTTTGGCTTACGGATTGGAATTGGAAGGTACTTCATTTCCAATCACAAATTGAGATATTAATTACAAAATATAGGAATTAAAATTTTCATAATATAGCAGAATAAGAGTAATGATTCTTTATATTTCTATTTAATAACCTAAGTTAAAGTAATGGGATATCAGAAGAGGGAAATATCATTTCTGCATCAAGGCTTTTAAAAATGGCAGTTTGGGGCTGGAGAGAGAATAAAACAGATAAGGCATTTGCCTTGCATGCAGATGACCCCTATTCAATCCCCAGCACCTATATGATCCTCCAAAGATAGCCAGGTCCCACTCCAGATCACAGAGCCAGGAATAGCACTGTGGGTTGTGGTCCCAACTCCTCCCACAGATTTGGCAAAAAACAATTTTCTGCTGCATATAGGAGAGTATTGCTTGGGTATGGGGTTTCCAGCAGGCATTTAGGGGTGGATATTCTCTGATGTAAGGCTATCTTACAATTTTTGAGAAGTGCAGTTATTTGTTTCCTTGTACATCACCTCTTCTGTCCAGACAAATGCCTTAGAAATCAATTGGAACTTGGTTTACAAAAGGTATACATTAAGCTTCAAATTCTGTGCAGTTGCAGTCGCTTGCAGAAGTGAATGATTAAAAGAGTTTCAAACAGATACTGTGGAGTACAGAAATAAACGGTGACACTGCCTGCTTGCAACAAGCCTTCCATCTGGTTGTGGGCACGGGGCATGCGTCCCAGTAAGCTGTAGCAGTTGACACTGGGGATAAGATCGGGGTCATTTATGTGCTTCTGCCAAAGATTCACAGACCCATAGACCCATTCTTGGTAGGGGTTCCTCAGGCGAGGGAATTTGAGAAGCTTTGAGTAGACTCTTAAAGCTGTGAACAGGATCTCTAAGATGGCTCAGAATCCCCCAAGTATCCGTTTTCTCTGCTTTTAACGCTGGAGAGATAGCACAGCGGTAGGGCGTTTGCCTTGCACGCCGTCAACATGACCGACCCGGTTCGATTCCTCCGCCCCTCTCGGAGAGCCCGGCAAGCTGTGGAGAGTATCTCGCCCACCCGGCAGAGCCTGGCAAGCCCCTGTGACGTATTCGATATGCCAGACACAGTAACAACAAAGTCTCCAATGGAGACGTTACTGGGCCCGCTCGAGCAAATCGACGAACAACGGGAGGGCCTTTACCTTTACCTTTACCTTTACCTGCTTTTATAGCCTTTTTGGTATAGACATTTTTGGAGCCTCCCAAGCTGTGTTCTGGGTCCAGAAAGCCACTCCTGTAGACCCTTGACTAACTGGGCTGAACAGGGCAATGCTCAGGCCTGGTGAAGTGGTGCTGCTCTGACCCCCGCGCACTGGGCTATAGCAGCAATGCTGGGCTGGGGCTGGATCTTCCAGAGTGCCACGTAGCCCTGCTCTGGGGGACTGACCTGTAGGCCTCAGGCACTCCTGACACTTGAGCTGGCTCCATAGCCTCCTGGCCCTCACCCTGCTTTCATATGTTATTCATCGTTATTAATTCACAATTGTTTTCTCTAGCCATGTTCTGCTCACCAGCATATCCCTGGAAGCCGGTATGATGCTTGGTACATCTAGTAGGTTCTTAATAAACTGTGTGGGATGAGGAACCATTTGTTGGATCTGCACAACCCATCAGGCACATGTTTTATTATTTATTTGGAGGCCATACCCAGCAGTATTCGGGGCTTCCTCCTGGCTCTGCACTCAGAAATTACTCCTGGCCATGCTTAGGGGATCATTTGCGATGCCAGGGATTGAATCTGGGTTGGCCGCATGTAAGGCAAGCCCCCAACCCACTGTACTATTGCTCCAGCCCCAGGAACATGCTTTATACACTCTCGCTTCCTCCCCGACTCCCCGGTTCAGGTAGTACTTCCCACTAGGAACCCGGGGGAGTGTTTCAGGACTATGCCTGGGCTCAGGCGAATACCAATTGGACTCCATGTCATTCAGATGCAAGCTTGGACTGCCCCAGGGTTCACACTATGGGGACAGATAGGGCAGAGGGACTGGGATGCTAAGAAAAGGAATCCCAGTGGGAGCACTGGCCATGTTCTCATCTGGGAATGGGAAAGGCTGGGGTGATTGTGTGCTTGAAGGGGATCCTGGTCTGTGTGTTCAAAAAGTGTGGGTGCATGACACGTGGGATTGGTGGTCTGGGACTGCTTCCTCCACTCCGGAAGGCTGACAAAGATGGGTGAACAAAGGAGGAAATGGGGCCAGACTGGTTGGTGATCAGTTGCTGTTTATTCTAAACTCCATCTCTGTACTAGACTCACCTCCTCTCACTCCAGTCTCCCACTCCTCATATTCCAGTCTCCCACTGCTCTCATCCCCCTCTCCTTGCACCCAGTCTCACCGCCTTAGTAGTTACAGAGAAAATCATGAAGGGCTGGGAGTAGCAAATACATATAAGTGTGGTTGTACAATCAACAGATGTAAAGTCCTTCCATCCGGGGAAGCTTCTTCTAAGACAAATTTTCATCTTGCAAGGAGATCCACCTAAGGCAGAATACCATCTAGGGGCAAATTTCTCCTTTCCTTAGTTCATATCCATTTAAACAGTTATCTTAATCTACTTCTTAATAATATTAGTCAAAATCTGCTTCTCATTCATTCTATATGGACCAGTAAGAGAAACATTAATCTTATAGGATAGCTTTCCTGGGGACATCTCACTACAGATCCCAGACTACAGCCAGAAGACCAGATTCATCCTTCCTAACACCAGCATGGTCCTTACCTGATTTTTTCTCTTTGGATCATGACAGAATTTGTTTGTGACCATGCTCTTAACTTATTATAAGTTTTGGCCTGTCCTGTTTCGATGCCAGGGTAGCTTACAGCTTTTCCTGGGTACACCCAATCTCTCATTGGGATTCTCCTTTTGGGGTGCTAGGAACTCAGGGCAACTGAGGCTTAGGTCGAATAAATATGGCAGATGCCCAGGAGTAAATATTATTTGGAATCAATGAATTCCCAAGTTACAAAGCATAGAATTAGCTGTCTTCCCGTGTCTATACAAAAAGAACATTGCTCTAAACTAAATTATGTAAAAGATATAAAGGAAAGAGAAAAGCAATATTTCACTTGCATATACAAAATACAGCACTGCAGAGCCTGGCAAGCTACCCGTGGCATAGTCGATATGCCAAAAACAGTAACAATAATGGGTCTCATTCCCCTGACACTGAAAGAGCCTCCAATACAACAGCATTGGGAAAGACGAGTAAGGAGAGGCTACCAAATTCTCAGGGCTGGGACGAGTAAAGATGTTACTGGACCCGCTTAAGTAAATTGATGAACAACCGGATGGCAGTGATACAGTGATACAAAATACAGAGCCTAGAAGAATCTGAGTTTACAAGTCACAAGGTATGATTTGGGAATAAGTGATTAACAGGGGAAGCAGAGTACAGAGGAGAAGTTGAAGATAAACACAGAGGAATAGGAGTGATTCGGGAGTACTGTAATGGGTGTAACCCAGCTGAAGGGGAGCATGTGATCTGAGCCACACCACTTTCATCCTCTCTCTCTCAGGACTTGATTGAGGGGTGCAGGGATAAAGGATCCAAGTTTATTTATCCCAGTAGCAGAATAGAGAGATTCTTGCTTCTAGCATAGTGAGAAATTTCACCCAAATATCTTAGCTCTGGGCTGATCTAGCCTTCCCTTTGATTCTATGGGCTACCAGTAGTATTCTTGCAAAAATTTCCCCCACCACCCAGGTCTCCACAGTTGGTTTCCGTGGCTTGCTGGATACCACATCTAACGTTGTTTGAATTTCCTAAAGCCATAGGGTGTCTGAGCTCTAAGAAATCTTATAAATCAACTATTTCAATTCCCTCATTTTACAGCTGAAGAACTGCAAGTCCCCCCGAGTTTGAGGGTTTCCCTCAAGGCCCATCAGAGAGCTTGTCCAAGACTGAGCCGAGCATAAGACAAGGGCACTTTTACCCACTGTTTGAGCCCATAGTTTATTTTAGTCCCTTTTAAGTATAAACCACACTTCCCTGTCCCACTTTCTCAGCAAGGCTTAATAGAAGACCGTGATTTAAAAGTCATTCCATTTCCCCAGCAGACCATCTCTTTGCATAGTTTAAACTCTTGTTTCAGAGACAGTTGCTTCTGAGATGTTACATCTGGCAACGGCGGACATCATTTATTCCCTTAGATGGGGACTTGATACTTTCCAGCGATCTTGAAATGTTTATTTCTCCCTGACATGAAATTTGTGCTTG